CAAAAGGAGGAAAATAGTTAATGTGCAATGGCATGGCCAATTGATCGAAATAAATACAGTAAAAAATAATATGTGCAAGACCCATAACAACGGCTAGCCACAACATTTGATACGATAGGGAGCGAAATAGCAAGGGCATTACACTACCTCATTGCAACTAACAAATTCCGGACGATACAAGCAACCGAATGGACAAAAAAGAAATGAAATCGAACAACCTATAGTGCCCAAGGAAACAAAATGAGGTTATTCGATAACCAAATTGGAGAAGGAAAGGAACCGAATTCATGAAGGAAACGAACGATAATGTCAATGGCGATCGGTGATAGGAAATAAGAGGAATGAATAAAAAACAAAGGAAGAAAATTAAGGTAGCAACATTTGATGAACTGGCAAGAATGAACTAAGAAATATAAAAGTAGCAACACAAGAAACAAACATAAAGGAACCACTAGGGCTAACAAAGTAATTACTCATATCCATCCATTGGTAAAATAGAAAATACACAAACACATAATGGCATGAAACAACACAACAATAAAATGTTTGAAGAAAACAAAAGAGCAATGATTAAAAATTCTTAAAGAAAAAAATTAAGGCAAAAATATTTAATTAATTGATGAGTAATTGAGAAATACGAAAGCATTCATAGGAAACGAGCAAGAATGGAGCGCTAGAGGCCAATAACATAATTACACAAGTCCAACCAATGGCACAATAAAAAATACAAAAACCGTAATATCCTTGATCTAAAAACCTCCTTAAGAGTCATTATGTTAGTAAGAATAGTTCATTTAATTAATCGATGAATATTTATTTGAAATAAAGATTGATAAATTATGTTTGAATAAAGAATGAATTAATCATAACTATTATAGAGGGTAAATGAATTAAATGAAAGGTGAATGCATTGATTAAAGTGTAAATTAAAGGAAGGATTACAATAATTATGTTTGCAAGAATCATTCGTTTAATTAATGTATGAATATGTATTTAAAGGAAGGATTGAAAAATTATGCATGGATAAAAATGAAATTAATAAAAATCTAATTATTATGAAAGATAAATGAATTAATTGGAAGGTAAAAAAATCAATTACGAGTGTGAATTAGAAATTGGTACCGTTAATTAATATGGTTATGTTTTAACCTAGGGATGTAATCGTAAAGATTAAAAGTTGAGGACTTGATTGAAATAATTAATAAACTTTAAGGAATTAAATTATATTTGGAGTAGGCCTTGGATAAGAGCCAAATTGAGGAAAATTTTGAAGTTACGAACTGAAATTTGAGGGCTTGATTGAAAAAACTTAAAATTTTAGGGACTAAAGTGTAAAGTTATGTCACTTTGAAGGACTTATTAATTGATTTAAAGGGAAAAAATTTGTTAGAGAAATCTGGAAAAATTGAGATAAAAAGAGAAGAAGAGAGGCAACAAAACAAGGAAGAAAGAAAAGAAAAATATCTAAGGAAGAAAAGATGGAGAAACTAAAGAAATCTTTAGAAATCCTAACAACCAACCTTAAGATTAATCCAAGTGTGACACATTTGTCTTAGTTCTAAGAGAAACTCATGTGTATAAAAGAGGAAGAAGAAGATTAAAGAAGGATTACAAGCTAAAAGCATTCAAGTAACCTTAATGAAGCAATTATACCAACCAAGATGAAAATCACCCAACCACCACTTCAAACCACCTTAGATAACTTATAAACACCTTAAAATCACCTTAAAATCAGATTAGAAGATCAAACAAAGAAGTTGGAAAATGAACCATTTTGGCCAAAATTTTAAAGAGAAAAGAGAAGAAAACCAAGGAAGAAAAGAGGAGAATTGGCTAAACTTTAAGTAAGGTAAGTGTAATCCTCACTATACCATAAAAAAAATAGTATTTTTGATGTGTAATTGATGTTGATTTAAAGTTTAATTGCTTATGGATTAAAGGTTAATTTGTTAGAGAAATAATGTTGTTAGTTGAATTTGGTGGTTGTATTGATGAATATGTATTTTTGATATTGGAATTATGATGATTAGATTATTAATTGGGCTAAATGGAATTAAAAAATAAAAGGATTATGTTGCTTGATATTTCAACCATGATTGTTTTTAAGGCATGAATTATGTTCATTGTATATTCATGTTTTGCATGCATACTTAATTTATACGAAACATGTATTTGTTTTTTTTATGTATGTTACATGTTATTGAGGTTTGAAAGTATGGATGTTGAGATTTATGTTAATGCATTGCATTAATATTTAAATGCATTTGTATATCATAATTATGAAAGAAGTTTTACATTCATGATTTTGATGAAAGGAAAAGGAAAAAGAAAAGTAAAGGAATGCATTTGCATATAATCACCATGAAAAGGATTTTACTTCATGGTTTTACGAAAAGAAAAAAGGAAAAGGACATGTTTTCAAAAAGGAATGGCTAGGTACCTTCTTTAGGTTATAGGAGAGGAATAATCAACCTCTCTCAAGGAAAATGACATGCTAAGGGAATGATCTAGGGTATATTTTTGACATGCAAGGAAAAATGAGAACATATCAAGAAAATGATCTAGTGTATACTCTTGACATGTGAAGGAAAATAAGGACACTCTAAGAGAATGATCTAATGTGTACTCATAACGTGTAAAAAAATGTTATGAGAAGGTACCTAGTGTTTCTAGAAAGTTTTCATAATTACATGTTTTTAAAGAGGGCCACTTATATATACAATCGGTAAGATACGCCCAAAAAGAAAAATAAATTTCAAAAGGTACAAAAATGATTTTTAAACACATCATATGCATAACATGCATAAAAAGCATTGCATGCATTGCATGGATTACACTTACCGAGCATCATTCACTTTTGTTTCATATGGTGTAGGAGAAAAGAAAGACGAATGAAGATCATTGTCGAGATGTGTTAAAGACTTGCCTTTATATGTGCTTAGTGTGTTAGGGTATGAAAAACTTTACCTTTACTTAACTTAATTGTTGGTTATGTATATTTGGTAATAAGTTAAAACAAATTTTGGTTTGTAGTAATGGATGGTATAATTAAATGTCAAGTTTAATATTGTAGCATAGATTAATTAGTTATGTAACTTGTTAAGCTAAATGGTCACTTGGATATTTGGCATGATTCAAAGGAATTAATTAACTATGGGAAAGAATGAATTAAAGATATAATGAAGGTAATACTTAGATGATTACTTGATTTAATAACTAATGAGTTAAGGACAGAAATTAAGGAATTAAAAAGGCATAACAAAAAGGGTGGTAAGGTTAAGACTTAAAAGGAAGTTAATGGTTAAGGAATAAATGTATTTAATGGACTAGTTTTAAATAAATTAAGAACCAAATTTCTTTAAATATAAAAAATATTTGAAATGGCCAAAATATTATGGTGTAGGAGAAAAGAAAGGTGAATGAAGATTGTCGTCGAGATGTGTTAAAGACTTGCCTTTAGATGTGCTTAGTGTGTTAGGGTATGAAAAGCTTTACCTTTGCTTAACTTAATTGTTGGTTATGTATATTTGGTAATAAGTTAAACAAATTTTGGTTTGTAGTAATGGATGGTATAATTGAATGTCAAGTTTAATATTGTGGCATGGATTGATTACTTATATAACTTGTTAACCTAAATAGTCACTTGGATATTTGGCATGATTCAAAGGAGTAAATTGATTGTGGGAGAGAATGAATTAAAGGTATAACGAAGGTAATACTTAGATGATTACTTGATTTAATAACTAATGAGTTAAGGATAGAAAGTAAGGAATTAAAAAGGGCATAACAAAAAGGGTGGTAAGGTTAGGACTTAAAAGAAAATTAATGGTTAAGAAATAAATGTATTTAATGGGCTAGTTTTAAATAAATTAGGAATCAAAGTTCTTTAGATCTAAAAAAATATTTTAAATGGCCAAAATATTATGGTGTAAGAGAAAAGAAAGATGAATGAAGATCGTCATCGAGATGTATTAAAGACTTGCCTTTATGTGTGCTTAGTGTGTTAGGGTATGGAAAACTTTACCTTTGCTTAACTTAATTTTTGGTTATGTATATTTAGTAATAAGTTAAACAAATTTTGGTTTGTAGTAATGGATGGTATAATTGAATGTCAAGTTTAATATTGTGGCATGGATTGATTAGTTATATAACTTGCTAACCTAAATGGTCACTTGGATATTTGGCATGATTCAAAGGAGTAAATTGATTGTGGGAAAGAATGAATTAAAGGTACAACGAAGGTAATACTTAGATGATTACTTGATTTAATAACTAATGAGTTAAGGATAGAAATTAAGGAATTAAAAAGGGCATAACAAAAAGGGTGGTAAGGTTAGGACTTAAAAAGAAATTAATGGTTAAGGAATAAATATGTTTAATGGGCTTGTTTTATATAAATTAAGAACCAAAGTTCGTTAAGTTCAAAAAATGTTTTAAATGACCAAAATATTAGTTAAAAGTCTAAATAAATTTATTAAATGCTTTATTGAATTTTTGAAATAATTTTTCAGCATATGGAATTTGTATAAAAATAATAGTATTAAACCTTGATTTAATTGTTACTATTCATGAATTATTTTCTAATTAAATGTAATATATGCTAATTAAATTATTTTTGAAATAAAATCAATATCAAATAATTCTACCTTATTGTATAGAATATTTGAAAATAAAAAAAATCCTAAATTAAATTTTATATGAATTTCTAAAAAGAATTTAGGAAAAATAAGAGACATGATTCAACTTAGTTTAATATTAGGTATTTTATTTTAATGATTAATTTGGAATTCAACAATGTGGATTTTTTTAATCAAATTATGGTATTTAATAGTTCTATACATAGTATAAGAATGTTAATTAATATTGATTGAATTTTTGAAAGAGTTTCTATCTAAGTTTTATTCAATGTGTATCTATTATTTTGAGAACAGCTCACCTTACTAATAAAGTGAAATTGACAAGATAAGAGGTTTAGTTAATTGTACTTCGAACATAAATTAATGCTAATAACTTCTTCGATCTACCTAGCTCTTAGGTAGGAAGCGTTGTCCGAACAGGAGTACGCGAAACAACATTGCAATAGAATGTACAAGAAAAACAGTCTTAGTGAACAGTAGAGTATATGGTGAAATGGCATTGTGTTTCAATTTTTTTCCAAATATTAATCAGCAGGGTTTGGCAGTTTAGCTGAGCTAGCTCTGTTTTCTCGCAACCTGTGGTAGCATGCCATTTGTAAAGTACAAGGTTGAAAAAGTAAAATTCCCATCTACATGGCATCTTTCTATTTGACAATGTAGAGGGGAAAAATCAAAGAAAACTGTCGAAAGAAGCAGTGATATTCTAGAATAGAAAGCAGCAACATTCCCTTTTAAACCAGCCATCATTAGTCCAGCGAAGTATCTTCCAAACTCATTGGAGATTAAAAATCAGTTTTAAGGAGAGAAAGAGAGAGGACGAATTGCACTTTTCATTAAAAAAGAAAGAAAAGAAAAATACTCGTAATCAATCAATTGAAAAAGAAAATGAATAAAGCTGCCACAATATAATAGGGTAGCTTGCTTGTTTTCCCTTGAGTTAATTATGTGTATGTTTCTTGCTTTTGCTTGTGCAGTTTATTTACAGACATGGGTAAGTGAAACACCGAACCCCACTACAACTTTCACTCACTTTGGTCTTTTTTCTCTGTTTTTGGGTCTGCTTTCTTTTCTTCCTTCCTTTCATTTCATTTCATGGGGCATCATAAATTTTCTTACTTTTTGATTGTCTTGATGAATTATGTTTGAAAAGTGATTGTCTTTTTATAATTAAGTTGAAGATTGTTTCTGGGTTTCAATTTTATCAGTGATGGGCAATGCTAGTGGCAAAAGTGATGGAGAAGGCACTTCATCATCAGGAGTTAAATATGGAGTAGAGGAGGGTTATGAGCAAGCACATGGTGGGGTTGCACCCGTTAGATATCATCATAGTCAGGGTGTGTATGCAGAGGCACAGCCCATGGTTCACTCCCCTCCACATAATCCTGGGGGATACTTGCAGCCTCCTCTCTTGTTCACACCACAGGTCTTCTTCCCCTTTGACTATTTCATTGTTGCAAATGTTTTGTTTCTTATGTTTTGAAGAGTTATATAAAATTTTATCTAGTTACAGTGATGCGATTAGGCCTTTTCTTTTTGGGCTTTTTTTTTTCCTTTCATTAGGTGATGCTAACGCTACTACATCTTTCAATCTTCAAGTTGAGTTTATTATTAATTTGTGGGGTTTTGTAAGCAATAAAAAGCTTTGTGCATTAAATTTAAAACTAGAATTGGATTAATTGAGCTGATTTTTGTTTTTAAGTGCATGTCCTGGTTATTTGTCTCAGATAATAGCAACTCTCTGGAATTCTTTTTACTAAAGTTATGTGGGTACTTACTCTTGCGAGATTTTTTGGAGTTCCAGGCCGAGAAATGCATCCTGGCCTTGCATAATTGTCTTCGTACATAAAACACATAGAAACATTGGACATGAAAAGAGGTTGAAGTCTACATATTATGCAATGTATGAACATTTGATGTTTAGTTGAGAAAGGGCTTCCTTTATGATTGTGCCCAAAGAGGACATTGCTTTGAGTTTCTTCATGGTTTAATGTTAATGGATTACAAGGGGCCTTTTGTTTTCGAAAAGACTTAGCATTTATAAACTCAGATGAAAATAAGCTTTCATTTTTTATGTTTTTTGAATTTATGAATCCTGCTACATTTCAGGTCCCCATGGCTCCATTACTAAGATCTGGTGAAATAACTCATGTGCCGAATTACACGGATGTGGTTCCTGAGAATCCGAGAGCTGTGATGATAACATGGAGTTTTGAAGGCAAGCAAGTAGCTGTGACTGGGTCATGGGATAATTGGAACAGGAGGTACTGGAATCTATTGTGTTCCTCTTTTGATTCAATCTTCATGCATGTCTTTTCTCATGTTCCCACAATCTAGCTCATATTGCAACTTTCCTTTCCTTCCCTTCCTATAAGGGAAACCTTGCAGAGGATAGGTAAAGATTTCACTATTATGAAGACGCTCCCTGCAGGGGTTTACCACTATCGCTTTATTGTTGATGAAAACTTTAGGCATGTTCCAGACCTACCATGGGAGTGTGATGACTCGGGTAATGCTTACAATATTTTGGATGTGCAGGTAATATGTAGTTTGAACTCTTTGTCCCTTTTTTCTATAATGAAAGACTGTGAATGTATGAATTTTTGCTCTTGCAGTTATTCTAGTCATCAAGTAATACAGGGAAAGGAAATAAAAAGTACAATAGCTAGCAGATTATCCTATTGGCAATAATTTATCGACTTGTTTTAAGTGTGTAGCATATTGCAAAAGTTTGTTGGTCAACTTGAACCCTGTCATAATAATATAACTGGCATAGCATCTGTCCAAACAATTCTTGTAAATCAATTTAATTTGTCTATGGCTAGTTCTTTATGCAAGTGAAGAGGATTTTAAGTGGAAATAGGTTGCTGGTATTGCATATGGGAAGATATACATGCAGAGAGTGAAAATGGAATTTAAGTTACTCTATGAGCCACTGTGTTTGATTTGTTTAGATTATATAGGCAAAGAAGTATAGACAGAAAAATAATGCAATAGGAGTTTCCTCGATATCCTGTTTTTTATCTGGCAAAACGACGTCAGTAAGTATATTCAAATGCAGAAACAATGCCCAAGTTAGGCTATGTTCTTCAAGAAAAAGCTACAGTGCACTCGACTTACCACTGTTAGTCATGAGTTGACAGTCGATATGGATGCACATTCATAGTACCTATCGTCCTTGTGACACGCTGAACTTCATTCTAGCAGAAAATGTGCATACGATATTTTTTTCTCCAGAGAACCGATTAAACCTTCCCCTTGGTGGGACAATGATCTTTCTTAAGCAACTGGGATGCAAGGGACCTCAAAAAACTCTAGACTGGATATATGTGGTAGCCTAGACCATACATCGATTTGTATCTCCAGAACTTGGAGCATGCAAAGCAACTGAAACCTAAAAATATATCATGCAACCAAATGTAGATGAATCATTAACACTTCTTGTGTCACAAGTTTATTGATTTTCAATATTTTGTATGCATAAGGGCAGTTGAAGTTGAAATTCTAGTTTTGGTAGCTAAGCACACAGTAATAAAAGAAAGAAGATGAACAAGGTACGGCTTAATCACCTAATCATTGTAGTTTTTGGCACCTGTTGAACGCATTTGTGATGTCTTAAGACTCTTATTGCTTCACCCTTGATATCACAATATACATGTGCATTCTGTTGCTACAGCTACAGCTTTCTTTTATTTGCTTTTTGCATGTTTAGTGTTGCTGAAGAAGATAACAGTGGAAGTGCATTCTCCAATCACTGTTTTCCTCGACTGTCTTTGTTCACTCAAATTAGCATATGGCATTTATCATAATTTTTTGTCACGCTGTATGAAAAGAATGCCACATGACGATCTGTCATGGACAGTGGAGATGAGGATTGCTGATGTCTTTTAACTAACCTCCCCTTGTTTTAAGGCTCAGTTTCCATCTCGGTGAAAAGAGATGCTTTCCCAGCCAAGATGCTTAGCACAAGGCGTGAAACCCTTTTATCCTTAAATTTCCATCTCCTACTTTGGTGTCTTTCTAGCATTGCTAATTATACAACCAAAATCAATGTATTACTGACATTTTCGGTTGTGTCTCAAGTAGCTGATTTCAAGATGTCTTTGAATAAATTTATCATGTGACAAATGCATCTGTTCCAAAAATCTTGCTTGAATGTTTCTTCTCTTCTCGCTGTAATAGTTCACTTGACAAGCTGGCCTTACCGATTTTTGTGTCCATAAATTTTATATACTTGTTTGATTTGTTTTCATTGTTACAATGTGGTGCAGGAGTATGTTCCAGAAGCTCTAGAAAGCATGTCCGAGTTTGAATCTCCTCCTTCCCCAGTTTCAAGCTACAATAATGAATCCCTAAATGACACTGATTTTGGTAAGCTTCCACCTGACATACCTCCACAACTGCAAGTAACACCATTAAGTGAACAATCTTCTGCGGCGAATGGTTACCAATCTCAGCAAAGGCCTCGGAACTCGGTGTTGAACCATCTTTATATTCAAAACAACCATGGCGAGCCCGTTGCACTAAGCTCAACAAATCGCTTTCTCCAGAAGTATGTAACAGTAGTTCTATACAAACCCACACGGAGGTGAAGTCATACCATATTCTTTAAGTGTCTACATGCTAGAGTTGGATTTGTTTGATGTAAGTACCATTTTAAAAAGAATTAAGATTTCAGTTCATGGGGATAGTGAAGTTGAGGAAGGAGTTAGCATAGGAAAAGGTTGAGTTCTTTACTGCTGTTCGTTCTGAAAATTATATATTGGGAATGTGTTTCTGTGTTCTTATTCTCAAAAGTCTCTGTTTTTTCTTTTTAACATTGATTCTCCTCGGGCTTAAAATACCAGAAGATATATGTGTCTAACATTCGTAGTAGTCTAGCTTCTTTGTGTTACAAAGAAAAGGTTCGAACTGGAGACCTCCAGAGAAGGAGGACACTTATGCTAGTTGAGCTTCAAGTCATGTGCATAGCCAAGCTTCTTTAATTCTGCTATTAGATCATTGATGAGCACAATTTACCACCAAGTGTTTCGCAGCATTGACGCACTTCATTAACTCGCTAAAACAAATCTCTGACACACTTCATTATATGCAAGAATTGACAAGCAATTCCAAGAAAAACTCATCATTTGATTGTCATTGAACTGTATTCGCAACATGAATAACAAAATATGGTTTACAAATTACAATACATATCTGAGAACTCACATGATTGGGAAGTATGGATAAACTCAATCAAACCGAACAGCCATGTCAGTATGCTGCTTGCTGCTCTTGATGCTCCAACTCTCATCTTACGGGTACTTTAATCCAGCCATTAGCAAAAGCAATGGCTAAAATGACAAAAGGAGTTGACATGCCAAATATAATGATGTATGGAAGAGGTGTCTTCATGGGATTCTCTCCTTCCCGTTCTCCTGGAGTTTGCCAATACCTGCAATTTAGAAACACCTTAACACATGTTTTGATAGAATCGCAGAAACAAATTGATGAAGCAAATAGCTAGGCGATGGAGTAGAGAACATTGAGTGCTTACTGTTCTGGTTCTTCTTCTCTGGTTATAAACTTCTTCTCTTTCGGCTTGAGTTCTCCATCTCCTTCTCCTAATCAAGAGGACCAAAACCATCTTCTTTTAATCAATTATCATCTCAGCCTCACTTCGGCCCAGCCAAATTCAACAAACAAAGTTAAAAAAAAAATGGAGATAGAAATGTACCTAGGTTTGCATGGATTTTGAAATGATGAAACCTTTTCTCTGATGAACTGAGAGAGTAAACTACAGAAGAGAATGATGATGCTTTAGGTAGGGCAGGAAATTGAGTGTTGAGAGAAGAAGATAGAGCCACTTTGGCAGCCATGTTCACAGGGCTAACAAGCTGTGTATGGCCATTAAGTCCTTGAGGATCACACATATCATATGCTTCATTAGATTTTTTTATATGGATATGGTGCCATGCCAATCATATCGTTCACTTCCAGATCCCAACCTTATCTAAATTCTAAACAACATATATATGCCAGGTAAAATCCCCATATGGCCCATCATTCTTCCCTTTATATGTGGTGTTGAATCGTCAATATCTAGTGTTTGGGCATCTGTTCATAACCAAGTACATTAGTTTTTTTTTTCCAAAAAAAAAAAAAAAAAAAAACTTTTTAGAACAATTACTAATAAGTAGATTTCGGTACCATTCTCATTTTCTTAAACTATTAGGTGCAAATATTTTAGATTTAAAATTTGTACAAATTCGCACTACATTGTATTTAATTAATTATGAACGAACCGAGAATAGTAAGATTCAAAGTTGCGATCATTTGATCATCAAAATTCTAATATCATGTCAAAAAATCATTTTAACTTAAAAGTTTAAATTATTAAATAAAATTCTAGAAATAATTTTATATTACTCTCTAACATCATCAATCTGTCACTAATATTCTCAAAAGAAATAAAAAGTTAGAGAATAAACAAAGTGCTATAGAAGCCTAATTAATAAGAATAATGTTTTTTACTAAATATTAGGAAATTAGTTCGATCTATCCCTTATATTATAGGGTTTACCTCAAATATATCCATGTGTGTTTAGTTGTATTTATTATATTCTTAGTGGTTTTTGCCAAAAAAAAAATCTTTAATAGGTCTTTATGATAGAAGATGGCATTCAAATGAATTGAAATTATGCAAGTAAATCTCATATGAATCATAGATTTAACTTTTTTAGTTCAAACTATCGAGTAAATTATAAATTAGTCTCTTATGTTTCAAGAAATAAATTAATTAGTCACTCACATTTTAAAAACTAATTATTTAGTTCTTATGTTTTGAAATTTACTTATAATTTAGTCCTTTTTAGTCTTTTTTTAATTTATTTGATTTTTCATTTTAAGAAATAGAAAAGGTAAAAAATATGAAAAAATTATAGAAAAATTGATGAGAAAATAAGAGATTTTTTAGAATAAAAATAATATTAAATTAAATATGGTCAATACTGATTAAAAAACTAAATAATAGCTTTTGAAATAAAAAGGTCTAATTAATTTGTTTCTTGAAATTGGAGGGACTAATTTATAATTTACTCTCAAACTATCCTCCTTGTATCTTTAAAAAACCACCTTTTCTCACAAATTTAAAAAGTCCATTTTTTTTCTCATGATATTTATTTTATCTTAAATGTCCAAGCATCATATGTTAGATTCCTAATTCTAATAAAAATATATTTAATTAATTACTAGTGTTTGACTAAATTTAATTTATGTTTTACATGAATGGACAAATAAATTAGTACAAATCTCTCATTTCAACTTTAAAATCATTTTTATAACCAAGATATTAAATTTATCATTTATTGATGTTGTAAACAAATATTTTCTTGATATTTGTTTAATGTAAGTGTTATTTTCTTTGCTTTATTATTATTATTATTATATATGATGTGGATCTGTGCTTATTTGATATTTAGTAATATTGTTTCACTTTCTAGAGTGATTATTCATTTTGCTTGAATTTTATTATAGCTAGTTTATTTTTTAATTATCATTTTTAATATAAGAAAAACCATGAGGAGTAGCAAACACCTATGTCATTCATTCAAAGTTTTTTATTATTATATAATATAGATAAAATACATAGTCCCATTTTTTTAAAATCTTTTTGTATTCCTACACCATATATGGCTAGTCCTCGTGTACATACCTCGCACCTAGAGAAATTTTTTTCTCTTTTTTTCTCTCATTTAACTTATAACTATTAATTTTTGGGATCAATATTATATTATATATATATATATATTTGAATGTATAAAAACAATCCAAAAGATGTATCTTTAACATCATCCGAGAAATAACTTAATATCGATTGATGAATATACTAGTACAAAAATATATGTATGGTGGAATAAAGAAACATATTTAATTATTTTACTCGTAAAGGTTCAAGCACCATATGTACAATAGTTTCTTAATTACAATCCATTCTTTGTCCTTTTACTTAATAACAACAGATTCTTATACTTAATTTAAGGTAGTAAAATCATCACATAAAGAGATATTATATAGATGGAGTAAAAAAGAATGTGCAATCAACATTACGCCTCGTAATTTCAATACAAACAAATGCCGGATAATATTTTATATAGGATATATATTCCTTTCAAGTAACATAAAATACTATTCGAAGAAGTCGGAAATCCTTCGATATATTATAATATATGCTTTCAAGTTACATTGTTTTATTAAGCCAAACAAAATTTTGATGTAATAGTAACATGATAATTTTTGTGCATGACAAAGGAGGACTTTGAATTTTATAAAAAGGTGACCCTTTTCCAAGAGTAAGAGTATTTTTTTTAATTATTATTACTGTGGATAGCCACAGAAGATAGAAAAAGAAAAACAATTAATGGATGAAGAAGTCTACACACCATCTATAAATGCAACAATTTTTTTTATTATTGTTACTGTAGATAGCCACTAGAAGGTAGAAAAAGAAGAACAATTAATGGATGAAGAAGTCTACACACCATCTATAAATGCAACAATTTTTTTTATTATTGTTATTGCGAGATAGCCCTAAAAGATAGAAAAAGAAGAACAATTAATGGATGAAGAAGTCTACACACCATCTATAAATGCAACAATTGTTTTTTATTATTGTTACTGTAGATAGCCACTAGAAGGTAGAAAAAGAAGAACAATTAATGAATGAAGAAGTCTACACACCATCTATAAATGCAACAATTTTTTTTATTATTGTTATTGCGAGATAGCCACTAGAAGATAGAAAAAGAAGAACAATTAATGGATGAAGAAGTCTACAAACCATCTATAAATGCAACAACGTGCCAACAAATTTGATCCACGTTGAAAACAATGAGCAACAACCGAGTAACAAGCTCAAAAATTCCAAAACTAAAAGAATTAGATGAATTATTTGGTATTATTTTTTATTTATTTTTAAAAATTTGAAAACAATATATATAAAAGAATTTTAAAAAATAAAATTGAAAACAAATTTTTAAAATTTTTAAAAACAAAAACAAAGTGGTTTATAAAAGTTTTCAAACTAGTTTTTATACTATCACCGTATGTTTAGACGGAAAGATTGGATTTGAAAGTCGAAAAATAATCATTAATAATGCTAGAGGTTCGAGCAAAGACTTGGTTTGAGACACTTGAAATTCGAATAGAGATTAGTTGGGAGTGTTGGGATTCGAGCAAGAACATAATTTGGGGCTTTTGGGTTTTGGGTTAGGATTTGGTTTGTAGTGCCTATGATTTCATTTAGCATCATGGAGCAATCGAGTCAATTCTAGGCATTCGAGATTTAGATTAGGAGCAAATTTGTGGTGTTTGGGGTTGGCCCAAAGCGACTAGGGGTTGTGATATGCGACCTCATCTAATATGCATGAGAGTCGATCCAAGACTAGGTATGAGATTTTCATTGTTCAAGTCCGAATCGAATTCAATGCATGCAAGGTTTAGAGGCCGAGTTTGGGACTCTCGAGGGTCGATTCGAGACGACGTTCAAAGCTCATAGGTTCAATTTGAAATGGGTTTGGGTGTTCTAGAGTCGGTTCAAAACCAGATTTCGAGGTGCCCTGGTTTTGATGTAAGACCAATTCTAGGCCGCCCTAGGTTTTGGCCGAGATCGAATCTAATGCACCTAATTGTTTGGTTGCGATTGGGTTCGAAGTGGTCATGGTGCATGCTAGGACCAAGTCCGAGGGTCAAATTCAAAAAACTAAGGATCAAGCTGAGACCAACTATGAGGCTCTAAAGTGTTGGGTTTAGGTTAGGTCAATAACGCCTCTTGGTTGGTACTCGAATTTTGAGTCCGAAAGCCTAGGCTTCGATCCTAATAACTCGATTATTTGATTGAAACTAAGTACATTAAAAATAAAAAACTAAAATAAAAGGCAATTCAATCAAATAATTATTTGATTTTTTAAAAATCAATAAAAATGACTAAAAAATTGAAAACAAAAAATGATACGGAATGATTCCTGAATTATAGAACAAGATTTGTTGTTCTAAGTTTTACAACTATCTTTAACCTAAAAAAAAAGGGAAGTTATTTGTTTTTGAATAGCATGATGCTTTTAAATATTATATGGTTGGAAACAAAAGAAAAAACAATTGATTATTTCCAAATAACTTTATGAGCGCTATTCTTCATAAATATTATGATATTAATATGGCTATGTTAGGTGAAATTTGAATAGTACATGTATATGTGAAAAAACTAGTTCAAATAAAAAGCCTATATCCTATAATTTATATGGTTTCATGATGATGATGATGTTAGACATTAAGAAAAACATTTCAATAATACACATAAAATATTAGATTAACTCATTTTTTGGGTATATATTAAGATCATATGATCAAATTATAATCGAAATCTTTTAACAAAAATTTTCCTATTATTTATCATTTTTCTATTTTAACCATGCTTAAAATCATTATCACATTGCCCATCTAAACAAAGATTATAAAAGACTATATATATATATCACGAGCATAGCGTAACCATTACAAAAGACTCTAAAAGACGTGGGGGTGAGATTGTTCACCTCCACACAAATTACTATGGACCACACTTGTTCATACAACGGTGTCTCCTTTAACTTAGACCCCTTTTTTGCTTTTCTAATTACAATATTTCCATTATTACTTTTGCTCTCTTTACGTATTCATTTCGGCTTCCCCCTATACGGCAACACAATCTCACCTTGCACGACCTCCCCTTACTGCTAGCGACCACCCGCTACTACTACCACGACCAACCTCACATCATATCCTACAACAAAAAATCTCATACCATAATGGTGGAGAACCAACACCCGACGGTGACAAAAAA